TTGGGGGAGGCCCGTAGTGTTCTCTAAGAATCTCAGTATTCCAAAGCTCTTTCCTTTATTTCCTGTATATTCTACTCTTTGCCACTTTGATGAAACACTGAAAAATATTCCTATTCTTTCTATTCTACTGCAAGCAAAATACTCTGAGATGACATTTCTTTTTTGAGCGTCAGGGTTGGTCCAAACGCTTATTTCCACGACAAACAGTGCAGGTGTGTGACTTCTGTTCCCTGTCCCCATAGCGGATAAACATCGAAACGTGTTCTGTTCTAGATGGTCCACTGGGGATAAAACCTTGTATCAGAGACAACATCAAACATCAAATTTAGAGATCTTACTGCTTCTCTCTGGCCGCAGCAACGCTTCTGCCTTCTTGCTTTGGCTTCCGCTTTCGTGGAGGGCCTTGAACCAGTCCCGCAGCCTGCTCGCCACTTCCCGGAACTCCGGGCCGCTGCACGCTGAAAGCGAAGAGGAGACACACAGGTCCTGAATAACTTAGCACAACACCGGCGCGATTGCTCCGAGGATTCCAACGAACTGAAAGGTAATAACGACTTAAAGTAAAAAAGGTAATATAACGACTAATTGTGTCGCAGCTTTTTCAAAACTAAAAATAAACACTTGCTTCAAAGATAACGAGATGTAATAGGGTGATTGCATTTTGTTTAATAAAGGGATGTGATCAGCAGAACTCCGCTTCCTCTCTCCACGGGAATATGACATGTGGTTGCGGATTCTTACTGTTAACATCACACACACTGGGTCCGAATATTTATGTGATCGACACCTTTGCCATGGTAAGGTAGTGGGATATCTGAGAAAACAAAGGGTTGAAAACCCGAAATAAATATTATTCATTTGTTGTTGGCCATACCTGTCATAATACGCTCTGATTTAGAATCCCTCAATAGTACACTCACAGTACGTATAAATACAGGTGCTTGCTCTCTGTTTAGTTTTATCCTATATATTTGTTAACCACAGAAAACGAAGGGCCGTATTACTTGCCATTAGGAAAGACTGTAAAATATTTAAGAGAATAATATCATTAAAACTATTTAAAATATGTAACATGCTTAAGAAAATACCATGTTTCTGTTGTAAAAAGTTGTAATATTAGGAAACTTTGACATTATGAACTATTTAACTTCCTCTTTGTTTTTAAAAAATATTATCATTTACCAATTATTATATTCCTTAAAACAGTCCATACAATAAACAGTAGCCGAATGTATCACGTGTGAGTCACTAATGTTAAAATATGGCATTTGATTTCAGTAATCTGCTGTGAAAATACTTTGGAAATATAAAAAATCACTTATTTGCATTGTTTGGAGGACATTTTCACTGCAGACCTACTTCCTGTGCACGTTGCAAATGTGCGACGTCCTGGGCCGACAATCATTCCACACGCATGCTCATCTGCTCGCTTTGTTAAAAGTAGTAATTTATGGAACGATAGAGTGTTCTATCTAACACACAGCATATACGTTATAACATGCATCATGTATCTACAGCTTTGCATGGTCTCCAGCGCCCCTTCGAGGGAGTGCAGAAGAAAGTCGAAAACCGACTTGAAGAGGAGGAATTTTTCTACATACGTGCGCACACATCCATGTCTATGTGTGCGTCACATGTCTCTAGAAGGATATACAGGAACGTAACAGAACGACCTTCAGTTAGGGGACTGGATGAATGGCAGGAAGTGGTGTGAGGGAATCTCACTTTTACCACTCACCTCTTTTCTCCTTTTAAATTGTGTGCGATACGGCTGCATTAATATTCAGAAATAAATAAAAATTTAAAATTTCCTTTTAAAGACATAATTACAAATGCATCCAACCCTTGACCCAGCAATCCTTTCTTTAGAGTTACCACGTGGGTGTCCTACAGGTACACAGTTAAATTGTGCTGCATTATTTATTCATCACTTTTTAAAGAGCAAGTTTGTTAATAATATAACTGTCCATCGTGCGTATTATGGGGATGAGACCTGAAGGAGGACAATTAACATTTATTGATCATGTTCATTAAATCAAACACATGAGGATCAGCTTCTTTGATAACACGTATCAGCTTAGAGAGTTTGCTATGTTGCCCAGGTCACAGGGCTGTGGTAGTTAACCTGAACCCCAGATTCACAACTTGTTCTATTATATTAAACTGAAATCTCTTCCTACAAGGAAAGCAGTATATCAGTGATATATCCACACAAAAGTACTGTGTATTCACACCCCAGATTCTTAACGTTTACTACTCAGAGAGCATCAGGCGTAATTAGAATTGATGGAGAGATACCAGGAGCAATTCAGTGGCTTCCGTAAGCCCAGGACATCTCAGTTTCACACGTCCCAACCTGCAGTGTTTATTAAAAACAATATTATATGTACAAAACTTTTGAAAACATTTTTATAATTTTTCAAGTTAACTTTCTTTTGCCAACAATTAACTCATTTAATTTAAAATTGACAACGATTTACCTGAAATCAGTATCCAAAGCAGGGATTCTTGTCAAATCAGGAACTTTAAACCATACCCTTCCTGAAATTAAATCTGATAAACATAAAATTTAAAAATTAAGAAAGTTGACACATTTCATAATTATTAAATTGTGTTCATTAATTTTGATTATTCATTTTTCTTTTCATTGTGTATTTTAAAGTGGACATTTTTTTCAAGTCTCAAGTATTTACGTTAAGTCTGTACATTTTAACAGGTACCAAATATTCTGCTTATT